ATAATTAAGTATTCTGTTAGAACTCAATGATTATCCTAATTATATTTTAGATTTTTTATATTTAAAATAAGATTTTATCTTGTATTTGATTATGTTTATCTGCAATTAGTTACACGAATTCAGATATGGAGTTTTAATAAGTTGTTCTTACACACAATCTACTTGTAATATTGAGTTTTAAGTAATATGCATTAATAAACAGTACTTTACGTATAAAAAGTAGTTTTCAAAAGTTTTTGTCAAATGCTTTATAATATAGTATAGATTATTTTTTTTATAATTTAATTTAAGTTTAATAATGAAATAATTTATTTTTGGTTTAATAATATAACATTTTATAAATATAATAATTAAGTATTCTGTTAGAACTCAATGATTATCTTAATTATATTTTACATTTTTTATATTTAAAATGAGTTGTTTATCCTGTATTTGATTATGTTTATCTGCAGTTAGTTACACGAATTCAGATATGGAGCTTTAATAAGTTGTACCTACGCACAATTTACTTGTAATCTTAAGTTTTAAGTAATATGCATTAATAAACAGTACCTTACGCATAAAAAATGGTTTTTAAGAGTTTTTGTCAAATGATTTATAATATAGAATATATTTTTTTATATATAATTTAATTTAAGTTTAATAATAAAACAATTTATTTTTGATTTAATATTATAAATTTTATAAAGATAATAATTAAGTATTCTGTTAGAATTTAATGATTATACTAATTATATTTTAGATTTTTTTTATTTAAAAAGAGATGTTTATCTTGTATTTAATTGTGTTTATCTACAGTTAGTTACACGAATTTAAATATGAAATGAAATCAGATGAGGATGAAATTGTTTAGGAATGAACGGGTTTAAGAATTTCTAAAACTTTTAAAAGTTTTAGCCAAATATTTTATAAAATAGTACACATATAGATAACAATATTATCTCATAAATCTCGTAAAAACTTTGAACATCAGTATTTTACTCTGAAGCAATATAATAATTAGGGGGACAATGAGTCGGAGGGCGATTAGCGTTTGGAACCAACCAAACTGCAAAACGTATTTTCTCGTTGCGTAACAACTTTCCATTCGCAATCATTCTCTCAAACACTTGGCATTCACGAAAATTCGGTGGCCAGATTGTATCAATCAGACCCAAAATTTCGAATTTTTTTGCCCCAATGGACGGCACTGCACTGCACTACACAAGATCATGATCATGATCATGTCAAAATCTTGCTATTTACCCTGAATTCTGTGCTCTCATCTCACCCTAAAACGACCACCAATGACGGACCTGAGATCCGGCGGCCGTAAGCTATCCTTCGAGGTTCTCGCCACCACCGACTCTTTTTTCGACGACGATGAAACTTTCTTACTTAGATCGGATTCCGGCCCTCCAATTAATCAAGGGGAGGGCGTTGTTGCCACCAAGTCTAACCGAAGGAAACGCAAACACAAGGGCTCAAAGAAGAAAAAGAAGGCTAGCGATGAACTGGATTTGAATAAGTGTGGTAATTCTAATGGTTTTATTATTAATAGTAATTGCCGTAGTGTTGAGACGACGACGGCGGTGGTGTATGAGGAAGCGTTTGTGCCGCCGCAGGAGAAAAGGGTTTACCCGGTGATTAGTTCGGTTAGGGAGACACCTGAGTTGAGGCAGAGGAGTAGTGTTGCTAGTGTTGGAGTTGGCAGCTCCGGGGAGGAGGCAATACCAATGTATCGGATTGATGAGAATGTCAAGGAGGTGGATGATAGCAGTTGGACTGGTTGTGTCACGGCCAAGGAATTCGACACTGAATTAATGATGAAACAAACGGCTGAGATGAACGTGAATGGGCATCATGTTGGCAGGAAACTGGAAAAGGATCAATCATTGGATTGGAAACGACTGATGGCAGAAAAAGATCCAAATCGTGAGCTTCTTCTACATTCCTCCTCCCTCCCTCTCCCCCCCTGCTGAAATTGAAATCTCTTTCTAATGATCATTTGAATATTTTAATTTTTGGTCTTGGTTGATATTGGAGCCCCTAAAGAAGCAAACCTGACATTACTGAAGTAGAATTCCATATAATGGACCTATCCTGGGGGTTTGCATTCTAATTAAGTACACAAAATATGATACAAAGGAACTTTTGGCTTGGCCTTCTGGGGAACTAGAAATCTACCAGAAAGAAAATATGACAGTTTGTTGATTTGTAGGCCTTACGAATTAGGATCTAGAACTACTATGGAAAGGGGAGCTAGCATTTTAACATGATTAAGAAAGGAAATAAATTGTCGTTCAAAAAGTTTATCCAGCCTTTCAATGGAGAGGGAACTGAACCAACATATCTATAATCTTTAGAAACGTCTGACTTTCAAAGTGCCTATCAATACTTTGCAAGATTAAGATTGTAGATATGAGATAAATGTAAATGTCTCGTTCATGTCAGGATGTCCTCCTAAAGAAAAGTGGATGCCTCATCTTGTGTGGAGGTTAGGTGACCATTGACCAACATATCTGGAAACTTGATTCATTAGGAACAGGAGTGAGAGATGTTTATCCCCTTCAAGTTCTCACCAATCTCCATCATGAGTGACCTCATTTACGAGCAGCTTACATTTAAGTCCACAACAGAAGATACTGCACTATTATTTTTGGTGAAATAGGGCAATCAATAAAAATTGAACCTTGTAAAACTAGCACTTTTTGGTTTGATTCCATGTGAAACTAGAACCTTTGGGTTGATACCAAGTGAATCAAAACTTATTGTACTTAAGAATAGGCCCTAATATGCTCCATAGTCTTTACTTGAGACACATCTATTACTTCGTTTTAATGTAAGTTTTGATGTTGTATCAACAGCTTTTAAAATATTTCTTTCTGCATAAAATAGAGTTGAAACATCTGAAATTTAATGCCAGTTCAAGGCCTGTGCGTTTATGAACAAAAAGATAGAACTTAAAATACATAAATATTTTATTTGGATCCTGATCCTATTGGACTACTCAACATGCTGAATTCTTTATTGCATTTTGCATTTTATACTGGAACTCTTTGAGCGCTTACATCATTATCAAAAGAATGTGGAACTTATTCCTAGTGCAAACTGCTAAAGAACTTTTAATTAGACATTTTGTTAAAGTTGAAGAAGGGCCAACACCCCTGGATCTAATGTTGATCCTTCAGTTCATTTTATAACCCAATAGATATTATGATCATGCTTAAATCATAGATGTTTGAATTCACTCTGAGACATCACTAAATTTAGTACAGGTTATCACATTAGGTGGTAGGCATCACCAAATAGATTGATATATGATTGTTCTCATTAGCTGACCAAAATGGTAGCGCTATTTAGCTTCATGCTTGTCTAGATCAGTTATCCAACTAATTAATGTGCTTAATAAGTTCCTTGAATATGAACTCTCGTATATTAGATTATGTATTTTTGGATTTCTTGGAATAAACAAAATCATGTGTTCTAGTTGTCGATGCCTTGTGCAAGTTCAGTGCCGGATCATCAACATAATTGCTCTGGAGTTAGTACCTGAATCTGCAACATGTTAGTTCATTTTCAGTTATTTCCTGCTTTCTATAAAACTTGTGGGCTGCTTGTTTAACATTCTAGGATTCTGTTAACTGTTAGCAAGTGGCATATTTGTTGATGACATATAAGTTTGACAGGATATATTTGTGTTTGAATTATCACTGTTGTGAAGATATACAATTTTGTCTGCCACTTGAATTGTAGAAAGGAGTTTCTAGAACACCGAACAGTTGTACATTTGTTTTCTTCCTCTCACCAGTTGCGCTGCTAAATTTGTGTCAGACAAGTTTTTGTTCGAGAGGTCCCCAGTTAAATACTTCATGGAAGAAATGTATGGTGGAAATTCGTTAAGGATGACAACAACCCTTGCCAATGAGAAAGACCGGGAAAGAGTATACGACACTATTTTTCGCATGCCATGGCGTTGTGAATTGGTAATATAGCTTTCTTTATGATAATCCTAATCCTTATATGGAAACATGAATATGTATCATGTCGTGCATCGACTTATTTGATTCTATGTGATCATTTATTTATTCCTTAAATGAAATGAATTATCTATTTCTTTCTGTTAAAAATAGTAAAATAGCTTTTTGGCCCCTAAGTTAATGATAATCGGACTTTTCGGACATCTTCCATAAAAACCATTCTTTGTTGTGGGATAGTAGTGGTGGCATCCTGAAGATAGTTGTAGTGGTTGGATCCAGAGGATATAATCAAGTAACCGAATTGAGCATAATGCCACATATGGAGGGAGATCATCCAGGTTGGGATTTAACATTTTAACTGTAGTTCTTCAGTTTCTGAATCTGCATGGAGACTTTGTTATAAGTAGCTCCGAAAGATTTTCATGTTAAAGCATCTTGTATGCTTTAATCAGCCTCAACCAATCATCAAGAACCATATTGGTGATAAGATTGTAATTCAAATGGGAGAAGATACTATGTAAAGCCAAGACTTCACTGATGATTAATTGTGTTTTTGTGCAACATCTTCTAATAAATGGAGCATAATGGTGGAATAGCCCAAGTAGTTAGAGTGAACTTCTGTTGCAGTGAGTTCTGTAGCATGGGTTACTAAGAGATTCAGTTCCCACTCAGCCAAGGTACACAGTTCATCTTTAGGGGTTTTGCCTGATATGTAACAACAGTTGAACCTTCTGCTTTGTACCACCAAAGCTGCCTGGTTACTTTTGGGGAAAGACTAAGAATACATGTTTGCAAGCCTTCCCAGTGTCCCAGCTATAGTGAAGAAAGCTTACAAGCATGCAGTGTAAGCTTTTGCTTCCATATATTGATAGGCAATAGAATTTGGGATCCACACAACTGCTACATGAATTTCTCTATCGTTTATAGGACGTCATGTGGAATGATATAAGTTACAAGTTACAACACCATATCAGGTATAGAATCGAACATTGCTCAACTCAGTGGCTTGACTGGCATTTTGGTATTTCCAAGAGCTCCATGTGCCTAGCAGCCCAACCTGTAAGGTTTCATTGGATGAGATCTCAAGGGTATAAGTTTGGTGGTTGGAGCCTGGAGGTTGTGATGTATTTCCTTTGGCGGGCCCTCGTTGCAAATTGTGGAGATTGGGGACAGAGGGAGTTTAGAATTCTAGGGGACCTTTTTGCATCTAATTTCTGTCCAGACAGTTGCTTCTAACTAAGAATCACCAAAAAATTATATACTGTAGTATTTTTAAGGACTGGTAGGAGCTTTTGAGGTGATTTATAACACATCACACAAGTGTATATAACATTGTCCAGACAATTGCTTCTAACTAAGAATCACCAAAGCTAAGTGTTTGCAGCCATCATTTTCTTTCATGGCCTCTCATCACATATTTATGTATGTGTATATCAGTATATGGACACATATGCATACAGAATGCAAGTATGCATCATATTTATCCACAGCATAGCTTCTTTCCGTTGATCCTCTGTTATATTTTGTCCGGTTAGCATGCACTCATGCAGCACCCTGTGACTAACATGGTACTATGACAACAGTATCTCTCATACCCACTTTCTCTTGCAATGACTATTTCTATACATCTGTATGTCACTTGGGAGCATTGACATTTGAAACTTGAGTTATTCTAATATGTCAAATATCGTATGGCAAAATGTATGTTTGGAGTTGGAGCAGAGTGATTAATGTTATATAGAGACGGTTGTCTTCTGGTTCTGAGGCTCCTGACCAGGGAAAATAAAATTCTAAGAGATAAAGAATGACCACAGTGGTTCATATGCCTTGAAGAATTCTCTTTCCTTTGCTTCACCATATAGACTAGGTATCTTTCGGTTTCCTACTGCAACTTTTCCACGGTGTGAATCTTGCAGAAAGTGTTGCATATTTAAAGAAGAGAGCTGAAAGTAAATTCATCCATCTCTTGATTAGTGATGGCTAGGCTGTCTTTGAATTGCAATTATTTGCTATGTATCTACTTGTATCAGTATTTCATCAATGACAACTCTTTTGCAGCTCATAGATGTTGGCTTCTTTGTCTGCTTGGATTCGTTCCTGTCACTGTTAACGGTCATGCCAATTAGGATTCTCACCACCTCTTGGAGGCTTCTGAAAACAAGGTATATTCTATTATCTCCAAAAAGGTAATTGGTTTTCACCAACTTGACTTAGAAGCTGTGGAGGCCAGCATTCTCATTCTCGAGGGTTGACATATTTACTGCATTTCTTCATTTTTGATATTCTTGTATTTCTATCAGTCATATAATGACAAAAGAAAGTGTTAAATAGTTGTGATGCTACAAAGCAACCTTTTATGTTTTTGACAGGCAGTTTAAGATGCTTTCAGCAGCAGAGCTTTCTGACTTTGGTTGTTTTCTTATGCTGGCTTCTGGAGTTATTCTATTACAACAGACAGGTTTAGTAAGGGAATCTAGTCCTTAATCAATTCTTTCAGTTTAGGTTTTGTGCTTTTGTCTGGGGTGCATTCCTAACCTTATACTACGTTGTTTTCTCTCCATTGTTTTGCTGCTTAGATATCAGCCTGATTTATCACATGATTCGAGGTCAAGGAACAATCAAACTCTATGTGGTGTATAATGTATTGGAGGTAAGGATATGATTGCTGACTTCAGTGAACATCCATGGTTTACTTTTTCCTATTGACTTAGATTTACTTCAATGAGAGCTTATGTTTTGTTGGTTGCTATTGACCATTTTCTTCATTGAAACTAGGATATATTTTCAAGGTGAGATAGCCAACTTTCAGTGATGACAAGAAACTTTGTGGAAGAATGTTACTCAAAAAAATATTATGATGCTACAATCAACTATCCGGGTCCCCCTTTCTGGATATCTGATTTTAAGATGGATTAAAATGGTTATTGAAAAGGGGGAATGGTTGACTCATGTTAGAAATCTCGTTGTCATTTGAAGAACATATTTCTGGCTCTGAGAGTGACTAATAGGCCTACTGTAGTCCACCCATCTGGAATCCTAAGTTCAGTACACTAAATCTTGTATAATCTCATGAGACATTCATGTAATGGTTGAAACATTGCCATAAACTGATTGGAAGCTTAGTCATTATTAACTTATATAGTTTCTATATCAGATCAAGGATCAAGAGGTTGTCTTTTTGTTCCCAGAACATGTTGCTTTTGTAATTAACCTAAATTTTGTTATTTCTGACAGATATTTGATAAATTATGCCAAAATTTTGGTGGAGATGTCTTGCAAACACTATTCAATACTGCTGAAGGTCTTGCAAATTGTTCACCAGAAAATGTGAGATACTGGTTATGGAGGTTCATCTCTGATGAAGCGTTAGCTGTGACTTCGTCAAATATCCTTTTCCTGCAGTCTATAATATATATATATATATATATATATCTTTTTTTGTATAATTTGGCCTTAAATGAATCCATTCTCCTTCTTCAATTCTTTATGGCCTCCAAATAATGTGTTCTTGTTTCCTTAACGCGTTGTACTTGTCCATTCATTCATCTTGTTAGCCCAGGCCATTACTCTATCGACCTGTATAGTTGCCCACAACAATGCATTGTTTGCTTTGCTGGTCTCGAACAATTTCTCGGAGATCAAGAGCAATGTTTTCAAACGTTTTAGCAAGGATAACATACAAAGTCTGGTATATTTTGGTGAGTCTCTGTACATCTTCACTCGTTTGATTTGATTTATTATTATTTTTGTTTGAAATGGTTGGTTTGACATTATTCCTTTTGTTAATCTTCTTCATGATGGAAATAGCATTTGTAGAAGTGTGTGAAGCACACAATTATGGAGGAAAGGAGTTCCATGAAACAACAATTCCTCTACCCCTCCCTCCTTCCTGAAACACAAATACACAAAGGAAAAGAGGAAAAGCAAAACCAAGAAAGAGAGAATAGTTTCAAATTGAAATGATATTCCTTAGTCTTAGGCCAATATCAACTTAGTTGATGGGTTATGTCTGCTCAATCCATGGTCCATAGAAATTTGTAATCTTGCCACAAGTTATAGTTCCATCTGGCCAGAAACAAAAACATTAATTATGACCTGAAAACCACAATTCCCAGAGAATTCAGAACTTAAAATGATACAGTTATGGGTGTTTGTTTGGCATATTCCTGAAATTGATCATCGTTAAGGTTGTTTATATTCTAAACACAAAGATCTTGAAGATTTAAGGAAAGTTTGCTTTACAGATTAATTTTTTTAATTGTGAAATAGGAGGTTTAGTATAAACTGCTGAATTAAACAAGATACCCGAGGTTCAGTATTCCTATCAGAATTGAACCCAAGAAATCATTCCAAAGAATTTAGTTTACATGATTGTTACTGGGGTGGTTATCATGATTTATGGCAACTTGCATATGTTGCATTCCATTTCCAACTAAGAAGCTTCAGGTTTAAAAGAAAACAATACGAGATTTCAGGTTAGTCATCAGACCAGATATGTTATATAGGGTGGTAGGGCAGAGCGTGGAACACACATATGCGGTTTGAGCATTTTCCAACCCACAAACCGCTCTGCATATGCTTCAAACTGGAAAAAAACACACCGTGAAATGCTGTGCTGTTTGTACCTAACGCACTCCAATCCAATACTTATAAAATCATAAATATAAAAAAAATTCGATGAAAAATACGATTCCATGTAATAAAAAGTTACAATACGTTCGAAATACTCAATTAAAATTAGTCTAAAACAAACTTGTAGAGTTCCATAATTAATCCAATTATCCAAATACATTTAAAAGTTAACTTCAAAAATAAATTTGATGGTGATGTAGGACTTGTCCGTACCTTTTGTTTCATCTTGAGTCCCCACTCCGATAATATTACAGCCTAATTATCCTATATATATTTTAAAACATATAAAATTATGCAGTGCGGCAAGGTTTGAACCAAAATTTTATTATTCAAAACCGCAAACGGCACTGCAAAGTGAAAGCGCACTACGAAAGTTCAAAAACATGGGTGCAGTGTTGGCAGTTTGGTAGTGTAGATGCTTACCCCTATGGGGCAAAGTGTTGGGCATAAGGGTGGCGCATGAGAGGAAGTTGAAGTTGAAGTTGCAGAATAAGGATGCCTAGATGGACTGTGGACTGACCATGTTGGATAAGATACTGAACGAGGTCTTCCAAGCAGAGTTGGGAGCAGCACCTATCATGGATAAATTGAGAAACGGAAGATCGTGGTGGTTTGGGCTTGTTCATTGCAGACAAATGTTGGCACCGGTGAGGAGGGTCAAAAGCGTAATGATCGAGGAAGTGAGGAGGATGGGCAGGCCGAGGAGGATGTGGGACAAGCAACTGAGCCGAGTCATGGCAGCTTAAGAAGTTTCCCTAGACATGACCTCGTATTGGAGTCCTTGGAGACACAGGACGAGGGTAACATATTATTAATAAGGACTTGTGGTTGTTGTGTACGGAGAAAGGGGTTGGAGAGGTACAGGGTGGGAAGGGGGAGTGTGAGCCAGCAACTAGGTTATTAGAATCCTAGGATAGGTAGGGGGCTCTTTCGGGGTAGTTAAAAGTGTCTTTGAACTTTCCCTTATGCTTTTAATGTCCTCACCTATTTATTTATTTTTCTTGTGGTTACTTGCCTAACTTTCCAAGCCTTTCTTCCTTTCCCAAAATTGTCTTAAGCTCTTCAGTAATTTTCCAAAACTTCGTATCTTTCAAAATTTAGACAACTTTCGGAGTTTCTCTAGACTAACCCAAAACTTCTTCACAAGCTGGTGGTCTTCACACTTCATAGAAACAGCCTTTCTATCCCTTTGGGTAGAGGAAAGGTTTGTGTACATCTTACCCTCCCCAGTCCCTACTCCGTGTGGGATTTTATGGGTGCATTTTGGTTTAGTTCGGTCTTAATTACTAGATGTCGCTATCCTTGATAAACTCTTGGACAATTTCTGATGGTGGTGATAGAATGGTTCCTCAAAACTAGAGAATTCTCACGGTATCTACTCAAGAAGTGTTGGGCACTAATAAACCTTCATGAAGAAATTTTAGGAGGTTATAAGGGGAAGCTGTTCTTATGTTAGTTTTTAGAAGTTATTCTTCGAAAATTAGTTTGGTTTTTTGGAATTCTTGCTTCAAATATAATTTATTCTTCAAAACTATATATCAACAAGCATGCTTGTTTGACAATCACAATCCTGATAAGGTTTTGACTCTCCACTCTAGTTTCCAACACTTGTTTGGCATAGAAATATGTCCATACATGAGTGATCAGTGAGATGGAAAATTAAGAATTATTTGATAGGTGTTTTATTTCATAAGTAGAATTGATTGTATTGCTGGGAATGCTGCATATGCATAAAAGATGACTTCACCTACATACAATTGCTTATCGATTTCTTATTGATGCTGAGCCCTGTCATAAACAATGATTCGCTCTTTCTTGCACACCATTTCTCCAAGTTTATCTTGTATCTTGTTACTCGTATCATTTGCATCACATTTTAGTTAAGGAAAATTTAGTAACAGCAACTTGTTGGCATCCATATAATAGCAACTGACTCAGTTCTATTTCCACGAATTTCTGTTGCATTATGCCAAGCTGCTGCTTATTTTAAATTTTGCATTGATGTGGATAATTTTGTTACACCATTTGCAGATTCAATTGAAAGGTTCCATATTGCATCTTTTCTCATTTTTGTCTTGGCTCAGAATATTTTGGAAGCAGAAGGTCCATGGTTTGAGAATTTTCTTTACGTAAGTTCGTTTTCTGTATATCTGTACATTTATTGTTGGCATATCCTTTCCCTTTTGTTGGGTGGAATTTACCTCATGTCTTTTCAGTCAAGTGAGTTGCAAATAAGTTCATGATATAAATCAGCACCTAATTGCCTCGTTTTAACTTATATGCAAACAGTCGTATGCTAGTACAGAAACCCGGCGGAGAAAATTTTAGTATTTTCTCAGTATTAAACTTTGAATGGTATTAATGACATAGGTTAACTTGTTTGTGCTACCAACCTCTTTTGGAGTTCTTAGCATTTTCTTTTCGGTGTTTAAGATTGTCTTGAAATGAGTCTACTTATTATGTTACGGTGAAAGTATTAGATCAGGTGGAACACTTCCATACTTGTCTATTTTCTTTAATCATCATAATATTCACCTTATTAACAACCACGAGAAGACATGGTGATTATCTTCACACATATGCAACTTACTTGAACCAAGAATGTAATTACCGAATATTTCTCTCTTATTGTCTCCTCTTATATATCTTAAACTTTGGATGTTGCAGAATGCTCTTGTGGTTTACATATGTGAATTGATGATTGATATAATCAAGCATTCTTTCATAGCGAAATTCAATGAAATAAAGCCCATTGTATACTCTGAATTTCTTGAAGACCTTTGCAAGCAGGTACCTTCTGCTATGTTGTTCTACACTTTTATACTCTTGGAGAAACTCATATTTTCTCTTCATGATTTGTGACTGGATTTTCCACTATGGGCTATATTATATTTTATATTTGTGTACAGCCGTTAGCAGGCTGATTCCAATGCATGCTCATAATTTTCTATTTCTCGAGTGGCAAACATTTGGTAATAGATGATCTATACCATCTTGTTTTTGTATATATGGTTAGGAATATCTTTCATTTTTTGTCATTTGTCTTGACATCCAAATACCTTGGTTGTTTTCGGACTTGGTCCTTTGGCAACATAGCACCTGCACCTTTGTACCGTACCTTGTGCATGATTAATTGGGCTGTACATAAGACAACATGGTGCTGCAATTTATGGTTAATTTATTTCAATATTATTTTAAGAGACGTTGGTTTGAAACTTATTGATGTTTTTCTTTTTCAAAGACTCAGTGAAACCACACCCATTTGGGGGGAAGGGGTTTGAAAATTTTGCCATGCCCACCGGTAAATGCACCCTTGGTAAATTCACTTGATACACCCGAGTTGGATTTCAACTCATGACCTTTAGGTTATTATAAGAAAGTCCCAACCACTTGGACAAGTCCAGCTGTAGAAGGTTGACTTCAATCTTCATGTTACATGCTTCATCCTTGTACAAATATAGAATATGAAACCTCAAGTTGCACATGTGTAGCAGTTAATATAATGAATTTTGATAACTGAGAAATTGGGCATTAGTCAAACATAAGTCAATCATAGTAAGTTGTTAGTCTTTGGAATTTCATATTGGCGTCTTCTGAAGCTGTGGTTTGTAACTTACTAAGATATATTTAGAATTTTTTCAAGTTCGTGATTGTTAACAGTAACCTCTGGTAGGTTTATAACTTAATCCCTTTCATGTAGATCTGTTTGAATTCTATATGGTTCCTTTAAGTTTCTTCTGCTGGCTTTGAGTATCCACTGGCCATTCTTTCTAGTATAGTTGCTGGGTTCTATCTTTCTTCAAAGTAGCTTTTCAAGCTATATGTTTCCTCTTTGAAATTGTTGCTCAACTGTTCTCCTTACTTTGCGGAGCACGGTAAGCAAGTATAAACACTTATTCGTCCTCCACAAGCTTTTTATATTCACAAATCTGTGTTCATAGATTTTGGAATAATGGGAAATAAAGCTGCTTCATGTTGGTTTTTTGATCAGGAGGCCTCTCAGCCTTCATGCTCAAAACAACATTTTAGCACACTGATAATAGAGTCTATTTCGGGTGTCCTGAGTCATAGGATGTATGAATATTAGCGGCCAATGCTTTCAACTTGCTAGGGTTGCTTATAAGCATTATGGAAGGGTCTTCTTGTTTAGCTAATTCATATGCCTTCATTTTAGCAGCATATGAACTTCTTGGATACTCTTGTTTATATTCTGATTTTGTTATGCACTAATTATACATCATATATGAACAGACTCTAAATATACAGCCAGAGAATCCAAAGAAAACCCTGACTTTTGTTCCTCTTGCACCAGCTTCAGTGGTATGTATGATATAGTAATTATAAATTCATGATATACTTTTCTATATGCAAATAATTTGATATGGTTGTTTGGTTCAGGTGATTCGAGTGTTGAGTCCAGTTTATGCAGCACATATTCCGTGTGGTCCGTTCCAATGGAGAATTGTGTGGGTATTGATGTTGTCGGTGATGACGTTTGTGATGCTTACAACTCTGAAAGTGATGATAGGTATGGGTCTTCAAAAACATGCAACTTGGTATATTAAAAGGTGCCAAGGGAGAAAACTACACACAGATTAGCACAATCAGGTATATAGTTTTCACTCGATAGAGTCAGTCGCATGAGAGCCTACGTTGATCAACCTATATATACATACATACATATATATATAACGCACACATCAGAATTGCAGCTTGAGTAGCTGAAGACATCGATTACATGTCTTATTGGTTGATTCCAATTTTGTGAGCAGGGAGAGCATCGACTGAATATGTCAATAGAGGCTTTAATTTACCATACAAAGTATATGATACTACCAAATTAATTTGAATTTTGGTAAAAAAAAGTGTTCTTCAAGGCAAATTAAGCTGCATTTGCATCATAGCTGAATATATCTCCAAAAACTGCTGCCTGCATTTGCATCATAGCTGAATATATCTCCAAAAACTGCTGCCTGCATTTGCATGGCCAATATGAAAAAAGGGGGCTCAACTTGTAATTTGCCCAAAGTCTTTTCACTGTGGTAATTTCTTTGTTGTCAAGTTGCTCATTCATTTGGACCAAATTCTGGTTGGTGAGAATTAAAGATAAGAGTGAATTACATTTTTCATCCTTGTGGTTTGGCGTTTTTAATAGATTCCGTCTCTGTTTTTGAGAAATTAACGAGTTCAGTCGTGTGGTTGTACTTCTTTAAGTGAGTTGGTTACCACAACACAAGGACCCAACTTTTTTAATTTATTCAGGAACCCTACGTTAAAATTGTAACTATAGGGACCCAACTTGTTAAAAAATACAACCATAGGGTATGTTTTGTTAATTTTTTAAAATAGGGACATGATTTGCTATTGCACCATACCACGGGGATGAAAAAAATAATTTACTCTTAAAGATGCGTTCCATAAAATTACCCCTTTATCATCAACAATCATATATTACACGACTATGCCTCCTTTTTACCTTTTGGGGGTAGGACTGGTGGTTTTGTTGGTGATTTTAGTTTCATCAGTCGTCTTAGTGTAATTGTAATTTACTTGAGTTCGACTAGGTGATAAGAAAACAATTTGAGTTGGTAGGTGTAGATTGTACACTCACGAATGTTGCATCTATCACCTTAAATTGCTATAAGGCGGGAGTTGGGGGGATTGTGCCTCCTTGCAGGGTTCTAGGGGCAACGCCCTTCTAGTGGTTTTGTTGATCATTCTGTTTAGAACTCATGAGTCTTCACTCAAATCTTATCATTAAGTGGTTGTAACTGTCGTGTAGATTATATGTAAATCGTTTAACCACCCATAATCGTCGATCTACCTTATAAATACATAAACGGTTGATCTGATGAATATATATATATATATATATATATATATATATAAACACACACGAGTTTGTGCCTTAAGCGTGTATGATTTTTTTTGGATTATCCCATACTAATTTCGTATAGCCTAACGCATTCATAGAGTCGAAATATGGTATTTGAAAAGTGATTTTAGGGAAAGTATCCAAAAAATTATTACCACATAAACCCATATTCTCTAATAGGCTTTGGCACATGTATTTTACACCGGTTTAAAATATTGACTAGTTGTGTACTTATGTACTGTAGTGGAGTTGTGAATTTTAACGATTTTGAAGTTTTATGGGCTTTATTAGATAAGATTTAACGATGATATAAGTTATACTTGGTTTTTACATATTAATACAATTTGAATAAATAAGAGTTATGGTTTTAATTACAGTCTATCAATGAAAAAATTGTATGACAGTTTAAAATCCGATATATTTAAACGACTCCATAAATGTGTTCGAATTACACCAAGAGCAAAGAATCAAGAGATCGAGAGTGAGACCGAGAGTTCTAGAGCAATTGAATGGGACATGAATGAGAGAACTTTTAATAACTCATGGTGAATATCAGTTTGAACCTCACCTTGGGGGATGGGGAGAAAACATAGAGGTATGAGAGGGTGAAGTCATACATGAAATGCGTCAAAAGTATCTTTGGAACATGAAAAGAAAAAGTAATAATGTGCACTAGTAACTTGTACTATATGTTATTTCAATTGTAGACTAAGATATTTTAAGACTGAATGCATAAAGTAGTAGTACTTAATGCATTATAAGTTGTTTTTAAGACTTTGTGCATAAATGTATAGTACTTTGTGTATTAAAAATTGTTTTTAAGATTTTTGATAAATCTAGTTTATAAGGTAATGTATATTATTTATGTAAAAGACTAATGAATTCAAATCAAATATATTCTCTATTATACCACAATTATAAAATATTAAAATTTTCAAGTATACAACTATTAAAGCATTAAATCAATAATGCATGTAAAATCTTTCGATTTTTACGATATTTTTATCTTGTCTTTTTTGTAGACGATAAAAAAATGGAAACTTTACTCAAATTACTAAAATACATGTCTAATTAATAAAATAACCAAATTTTTATGTATTTACCTGAATGATCACGTAATTCACTAAAGCATTTTGCCAGATTGGGAAATGCTTACATCAGACTTGTCATTATGGTAAAGAATATTTTATATCTCACAGATCTGTCGGAGCTGTGAGATATAAAAATACATCGTAGGGGAACGTTCCGTCTTAGAGTGAAGCACCTGTAATGCCAGAGGAATCATTACCGTAGGGCATAGAGGGTTGTTGCATATCTCGTTTGTATATGTCTTCTCTTTGTTTTCGAGGCCTCTATTTCGCCGACATATGAGGTTTTTTGGCGAATTACCTGAAAAGTGGGACCCACATCCAAAAAAGGTGTACCTTCCTTGAAAAGTTGTACCTATTTTCGCCCAACGCTTTGATTCGTCGTCATTGGTGATTCTTTTTCGAAATTCAACTACATTTTCAGAATTCTTTGTCCTATATATTTTCTTGTTATTTTAGAGCAAACATAATCATCTGTTCACACTCTCTCAAACAAATATGAACTCACATCGTAGTGATAATGTTATCATATATCTTCAGAGTGGTGGTTTGTTGCATACACTCAATGGTGTTACTGAGTATATGTCATTAGGAGCGCCGAAACGTAGAGCACCTTTGTCTCCGTCTGTAACGTTGAGTGGTGAAATATTTGAGTTTGATAAGGACAATGATATTCCAACGTTTGAAAACGTCGTTTATCAAATTAATTGTTATACTATGAGTCGCATGTCTATAGTTTTCAACTTAATAAATATGTAATGAACTAACCTCGCCTTCTAGTCGTCCCCAAAATTCTCTACTAACCTTCATTACTCGTAGTACATGTAACCACATCAAGGGCAACTAATCAAAGTCATACAACTAATCAACGTCCAGTGATGTAGAGGGTGTGGGCACCGGTGTGAGCATCGGTAAATGCACTTTCTTGGGCCGTCTCTTCATGTGCGGGACGATCCACGAAGATTTGAATAACCAAGGTCTTTTGCTCTCTCGCCTCTCAAGAGTAGCAGCCAAACACGGTGAGTCAGTCAGCACTGACTCAACCCACTGTGATCGAGATGGCGTCGCCTCCGTCGCTGCATTGTGGTGCGACATAACCTGCATACAGACAATCCAAGATTATACATGCAAATTAATACAATAAAAACTTGAATAAATTTACATCATCATCCTGTTAAGGTGAATGTGCAACCCCATTGAACTTAAACTTCAATTATGTCACATTATTTATAACTTTTCCTAACCTTTTTTCCTTTACGATCCTTGCAATCTAAGAATTCATATTCAAAATATGAAAAATCATTGTTGCAGACCCCTCCTGAAAATATATACCTAACATGAATTATTTAAAGAACCAATAAATTTGTGAAAAGACAAAACATGCGTAGTCGAATCAAAGGAAAGTGGAACAATTCCTCAATGAAATATTGTACTGCCTACGTGATCCGATAGCCCTCATGATTGACGAGTATATTTGGCAAACGCCTTCGATTGGGGAAAAGACGGTCTCATAGATCCGTATCTATGACGTAACAAATGAAAATTGTTAAAAGGTGCAAATAAAATTATAGTAACATTAATAAACAACGATAACGAACCTTGAAGCATATACGAAGCCCTATTATGTGTACTTATAACAAGACTTATTATTTTCTTTTCGACCTAAAAGCGTATTATTCAGTTGTTCATGGGTTTTGCCTCACACGTGTGAACCACATGGGTACAGATTCAACTCTCAATCACGAATGGTCAAAGAGTTATGCTTGCACAAAATATAGTCTCAACCCTCAAGTGCTGACAGGAGGCAAACACAAACCCCGTCATTGTCCGATAAATCTTTATATTTCCGTTCATTATAAAATATAATCCTAAAATCCCCATCTTTACATCTTTATGGGCCGATATATTACAAAATAATCCTAATAGTGACATGTCTATTAGGTTGTGGACGAATATTTGGACCAAATTGAAGCCCCGTAATCAAACAAAATTTGTATCTGTTAAAACGCAAAATCTAACTTCCAACACGAAAACATAATTTCTCCATATCTATGTTTTCTAAAGGGATCTGACAGTGGAGAATTGCATGAATCAACATTGGATCTCCATATATACTGCGGATATCCAGCCAATTCTCAAAACACATACGTCTAAACATCTCCATACTTTCAGGATATTTGCTTAATTTATCCCTTATTTTTTAGAAGTTTAACTTGTCCCCTCAACATCAAAAAAGACCAAAATATCCTCTCTCTCTCTCTCTCTCTCTCTCTCTCTCTCTCTCTCTCTATATATATATATATATATAGGGAAGATCAAATGTTAACCAACAATTGTGTTAACTTTGAAAACCATGACAACCAATCAAATTACATTCTTCTTGTAGGTTTATGTCATGTTCACATTTTAATTACAAGGGTATTTCAGTAAATTGATTTGATATGCAACTCTCAAACAATTAATGGGGAGTTACAAATCATTAAATCCCAAAAAAATATGCATTTATAATATGAATATTTTTATTTTTTTTAATCTTGATCTTCCATTTTCATTGTTTTATCAATTTTTAATTTGAATAGAAAACAAGGTAGTAAAAATTTTCATATCGATCAAGCTAATATGGATAAACGCAATGGAAAATAAATCGACAACAGTGAGAAGATTAAAATGGTTTATGATGACAATCGGAGTTCGAGGTCGAGAATTGAAGAAATTAGCCAAAGTGAATGTCTTGGTAATAGATTTTTATTTTTATTTTAGATTCGTTTTAATCGAAATTATGTTCATTACGATGTGTTGTGTTTTTTATAATTCATCTTGTACAGATAGTTTTTTTCTTTAATTATTAAAATACGTACCTAATTCATATGTTCAAATGGAAGTACATGCACGACCCATTTTCATATTGTCATATTACCGATTTTTATGAATCATGAACCATTGTGTTCATGTTACTTCTATCATATGGACATAAGTGTTATTTTTTAAGTTTGATACCAAGTCTTTATATTTGTTTAAGTGTTTGCACCCGATGTTCATAGCGTTGGGGTTATGTGTTCATATATTTTATATGATATGAACAAGAGGTGAACACGATATGAACAAGGGGTGAACAACCATATAAGATCAGAAACATATATGAACAAGGGGTGAACCTTAAACGGTATGGATGCAATGCATGTATAAAACTCCAAGTGACAAAGGATCGCTCATGGATGTGTTTAAATGAAGGAACTACTGTTCACAAACTGTTCATATCGTGTTCATACCTATTTTTATTTATTTATTTTCTTTCGTATAACAGTTATTTTTATTATGTTCATCTTGTGTTCATAAATGTTATGCAGTCCAAGTTCATATATATGTCAATTTTTTGTTTGTATTTGACACAATGGTTCATATATATATAGTTGTGTTCATATGGTTCTTACATTAACAAAAATAAATTAACAAAAATCATAGAATTTTTGATTTTGTAACTCCCAATTAATTAATGATATGGAGTTACATAAAAAAAATTACGTAAATACCCTTTTCAACTTTATTCACTTATCTTTATGAAATTTTAAATTTAAAAAAATAAGTTTTTATCATGATTAAYCACAATCGTTTATTGAAAGATTGAATGGCCAAGATCGGTTAACAAAGTTAACACAAAAACTTTGGTTAACATTTGAACCTGACCCTCTCTCTCTCTCTCTCTCTCTCTCTCTCTCTCTCTCTATATATATATATATATGTGTGTGTGTGTGTGTGTGTGTATGTGTGTGTGTGGGGGGGGGTACATTTCAAATGCAATCATGTCTATTTGTACAACCAATCAATTGAGATATTTATGGAAATGGTGAGAGTTCATTTATTATGATTTGTATATTTATGAAAGATGAATAGGGTTCATCAATGATGATCAATACTTTATATTATCAAACAATCAAAACTTTTATCAAATCACATATTTATCAAATTAAATGGACGGTTGAGATTGGGTTGCATTGGTTATACAAATGTAAAAGGGGATGAGTTATTATGCAACCCTTTATATTTGTACCACCAATACAACGTCCAATCTCAACCGTCCATTTAATTTGATGAATATGTGATTTCATAGAAGTTTTGTTTGTTCTCTAATATAAAGTATTGATCATAATTAATGAACTATATTCATATTTTATAAATATTCAAATCATTTCCATAAATATCTCAATTTATAGATACATATTAAACAATTACATGTAGATAATCAAACAAAAAAATATATATAAATAATAACCAAAACCAAATCCTAAACAATTACGTTTAAATAATAAAACATATTCTAAACAATTACATAAACACTTTGTAAACAAATATTTGAAATTTTAATAAACTTACCTGATTATCGATATCTCAAGACAATGGTGGGTTAAGGATTGTGATGATAGATTGTGTTTAAGGGTTAAGGGTTGCGAGAGTAGAAATGTTTGATTTTTTAAAGAAAACTATAACATTTATATAGGACCAAAATCTGCCTCAAAAAGAACACATCTGAATTGTCAAATCGGTGTGTCATAGGATGTCCTCACTAGAGGACAAAATAATGGTCAAATCGACCTAGGGGGGGATCTTGGGGTAGGTGGCGGCGATCCCCTTTTTCATATAAGTATCTTATTTTTGTCCCCCAATCAGATAGATGGGACCCCTTTCGTACTTTTTAAGTCAAATCGCCCCCCGAGGATGATCCTATTAGTCATTTTGTGAAAAAAAGATTGAAAAGTGGTTATTTTGTTAATACATTAGGTGATTTTCCTTTATCTTAATTATATTTTAGATTTTTTATATTTAAAATGAGATGTTTATCATATATTTGATTATGTTCATCTGAAGTTAGTTATATAAATTCAAATATGGAGCTTTAGTAAGTTATACTGATACACAATTTACGTGTAATATTGAATTTTTAGGTAATATGCATCAATAAGCGTACTTGATGCAATCAATAACTTTTTAAGAATTGATGTCAAATGTTTTATAATATAATATAGATATACTTGTGTGTTTTAGTGTTTTAAGTAATACAATAAAACAATTTGAAATCATATAAAGTTATGAAACTGAAAAGGAAAGAAGAACTATCAAGTATGTCGAACTTACAAGAAAAATTATATGTTTAATAAAAATTAAAAATTATATGTTTAAAAAAAGGAAAAAAAAACCATGTCTTTCAAAATAACGTATCATAATACGCCATAACCATAACACGTCTGTGTTACAACGGAAGTCAAGCCTTGGAGTGAAGCCATAGGGGTTGACGTAATGGCGAAGCCAAACCTCGAATGCCATAACACGCTATAACAAGTTATTTAGAACCATGTTCCTTTCTATAATACGGATGTCTACGTTAACTTGTGCACACCAAGATTAATTTGAAAGACCTGAAAGAACACAGTTGATGACCAATGAAAGTCCCATCATCTATTTTCCTGCACATCCAAAAACAACAGAATTGGCATTAATTTTTCAAGGAAATGCGAGTCCTCTGATTTCGAATATACTATTTCATCATAACCAACCACAAGGGTGGTGCGTGATTGGTTTGAGCTTGGCTCCAAAGGTCAAAGTAACCAGGAGGTCTCAGGTTCAAATCCAAGAGGAATAAAAATCCCCTTATAGGCATGGAGGTTCAAATGCGGTGACTCCGGGCTATCTGCAAAGCAGGTGGTCGCCTTGGGATTAGTCGGCTCGCATAGCGGGTTGGATATCCAGATTAATAAAAAAAAAAGTTCATTATAACCCTAAACAAGAAATGAAATGTGTTGTTTAGGAACATAGCTAATGGCCAAAAGAACATGAATTTGTATTCAACTATTTGTGTCAAAAGGAAGAACAATACATGCAGGGACGCTCCAATTTTTTTGGAGACCCTGCTACATCCAAAACTTTTAATTACATCGAATAAATGAGATAACAGAATATATGTTAAGAACAACAATGGGCTAAACCTAAAACGATTAACAATTTGAAACTAAACCTAAACCATTAATGATTTGAACCTAAAACCAAACAATTAATGGTTTGAACCTAAATAGTTTCGGCTATAGTTTTATACAGGTCGATAAAAGACCTTTAACACGTATAAATCTAGGCCCTCAAATTTCGGGGTCCTGTTCAAATCTCACATTTAACATGCTAAGGGACGGCCCTGAATACATGTTAAAAAAATGGCAGAAACCATACAGTATCACTATGGATAGAAAGGGATGAAACCAAACCCCACCAAACTAACTCGTTATATCCGGACTGAAGGTAGGGTAAGATGTATGCAAACCTTGTAATTGTCTCAAGAGATAGAAAGACTGTTTTTGAGAAAACCCTCGGCATGCGAATGAAAAGAAAGGGATGAAATGGTTAACCTTTGAGCATAAGTGTTGCCAAATACATCGGAAGGGTGAAACTTCTACCTATGTCCATTGACGTAATTCACTACGTAAATACACATGTATCACATACTGTAATTATGCCCACGGGTTCGATATTGAGTACTATAGCCTTTCATAATCACATAAATGTTCTTTTTGCACCCAACGCATGTAGTCATAACTACAAGAACACAAATGAAAATATAAATCACAAGGCTTGTTAACAACTACATCAATGAAGCTTTTTCTTGGCAAGACATATGGACCAATAGAAGCAAACTTGGCAAGACATTTGGAGTCCCATATTGGCTAGACACGGATCATCAAGCCTGTATGTATATAGGAATCTCTCATCTCTCTAAAAGAGCTCTTTTATAGAGACGTTCAAAAGGGTTCCACATATCCTAACATGATATAAGAGACGGGGTCTAGCAACATCTAGGTACTCGACACATTCTTTTGCCTCCGTTTTGTGGGGGCGTGTTTTTACTCTATTCGTTGCCTAGAAACAAGAGTGAGAATTTCTAGGCAACAAATAGAGTAATACCCAAAAATTTGTTGTCTTTGTATCTAGGCAACGACTCAAGTATATACCCAAATTTTTCTTCTGATTTTTGCTTTATGAAGAACACTGGGTAGTTAGTACATACTGTTTACTGAACCTTGACCTCGCCTGCTGATCGGTCAGCAGAACCACTGCAAGTGATGCTGCCCTAGATCCCCACAAGGGGTGTAACCCTCGCTATATGGCGATCTACAGTTCAATCCAGCTTATACAAGTGTGCACTTCGCACCACCCAACTTGTTTAGAATGCCCAACTTAAAACAGTTTGGTATCTCAAGTAAATCCCAACTTGTTTAGAATGCCTAACTTAAAACGGTTTGGAGATACATTCAAAGAGGTGCCATATATCCTCTACTAGACATATCATGCCAATAGATCAAATTTGTCAAGTTACAAAAACTAGTAGTCACCAAGTAAAGGAAGCTACACACAGTATGTTTCGCAATGGCCAAGTGCCACCTGCAGCGACAGCATTTTCTCATGATTGTCTTAGTAGGCTTTCATAAAAATTCTTGTAGAATCGAGAATGAAGTAAACAATACAATGACAGTCCAATCTAATGATTACATGTGAAGATAAACATCATCAAGAGAGAATAAGAATTTGATCATTTACCTACTGTATTAACTCCCGTCTTTTATTAAATTGCTTTGCAAGTCGTGGATCTTCATGGAAACAGCCTCAATACCCTTTGGGGTAGAGAAAAGGTCTGTGTACATCCTACCCTCCCCCCCCCCCTTTTTCCTATTCAACCCTACCTCTGCATGAGATTTATTGGGTTCGTTTGGTTTGATTACCTACTCTCTTGACTGGTGTGTATGTTTTTGCTGGTTACGATGTCATGAGAAACCTTAAGGCCAACAAATAAATTGAACTACTCTAGATGCATCTAAGAAAACACAGTTTTCATCATTTCTACAATTCAGAAAAATCTAAAAACATACTAGTCGATCATAGTTCTGTGGGATATGCACATCATAAAATGTAATGAAACCAAACCAAATCAATCCAATATCCTACTTGAAAGCAGGGTCAAAGGGGGTGAGATGTAGGCAAACATATCCTCTACCTCAAAGGGTAGAGCGCATCATAAGATGTAAACTTCCAAATCTAGCACAAAGGTTTCATAAATCTACACAAACTCAGATAAACACAGCGTGGAAACAAAGGCCTGGGGGAGGTGGGGAGCTTGAATAGAATTTGAAAGGAACTCACCAGTATTTCATCATAGATTGGAATTGGTACTACTACTCCGGAGGATAAATTAACAGCTTAAACCCATTACTTTTCACATGCTGTTGTTGTTGCTGCTGCATTTGCTTTTGTTGCTGAATTAGACGAGCAGAATCTACAGCAGATGGCGTGTGATACAGCTCCATGGTCTGCAGTGCAGAGACATCCGCCAAACCATGAGGAATAGCCAACAGATTAGTGCAGTGCTCGACCACAAGGTGTTGTAGTCTAGGAAAGTGATGAGCTGAAGCCATCCAGTGCACCAGATCGCTCTTTCCAAGTTGCAACACTTTAAGCAGACGAAACTCACCAGCACGCGGTTCCCATTGAGGTCCCTTGAATGCATACACTTTCAACTTTAGCACTTCAAGATTTGGCAGCATGCCTATTGTAGACATATGCTTCCAATCCAACAAGGTGTCTGAGAATGTTAACTTCTTCAAATGAGGTGGAAATGTGTAAAGTGGCGGAAGACCTCGCAATTTACCTTCAGATGGTGGGCGTGGGAATGTGTCATTCAACAACTTCAGTTTCTCAAGTTTATCTAGTTTGGCTAGATTGTCAAACAAACTATACCCTTTGTTTTTTTCCATGAGCAGAACGAGTTTTCCACGAATTCCCAGCTTTCTAAGATTAGGAGTTCTTGCTAAGACGTTCTCTGTGCAGCTATCAGGTGAAACAGTAGAGATGGTTTGTATGTTTCTTTGTACAAAGGGATCTTCATTATCCATTCGTGTTTTGGCTTGGGGCCCATGTAAGCGACTGGACCCACTCGTGCGTAGATTCCTAAATTGTGACATTTTCCATATATCTACTTGAATATCAAGGTCACGGGATGTTGTCTCAACAATTAAAGTCTGAAGACTCCACAACTTGGAAATTGATGGAGGAAGAACTTTAAAATTGCCAAAGAGAGCAACATACCTCAAATGCACCAGCTGTGTGATTACAACTGGAAAGCGGGAAATATTGATGGACCTCATATCTAACACACGAACCAACTTAAAAGCTTCATGAATGAAAGATGTATGTTCTCGAGATAATTCCTTTTCTTCCACGGGAAAACACAAGAAAGAACGAACATGAGGGCCATAAGGCTTTGAGTGAATAAAGTTCAGGACATGAGAATGAACACAAAGACGCCGGTGATAATTTCCAGATGAGACTTGAGAATTGGCATCATGTATGTGCCCTTTGATCACCTGTAAAAACTTTTCTTCTGCTGCTTCTCTCAGGCACAAATCGCGCAGCATATCATGAACACGACATGTCTTGATCTTTCCGTTTGATCTCTTTTTAGCAACTAATATCAGATTCCGTTCAACAAGATCTTCCAAATACTCCTCCGCTGTATCTTCTAAGCAATCTTGGCCAACCTGTTGTATAAACCCTTCTGCCACCCACAACATAAGCAATTTCCAAACGGGTATCGGGAAGTCTTCAGGGAAAGCACCAAAATAGATGAAGCACACCTTCAAGTGATCAGGTAAATGCTTGTAACTTAGTGCTAATACATCTAAGCATTGCTTTGGATCTCTTGCAACATATGAACTAACACTTTCAGCAACTTTCTTCCACAGGTCTCGTGTTTTATCTTTCTTCAAAAGAAGTCCAGCAACGACCACTATGGCAAGTGGCAGTCCATAGCATTTTCTAGCAATCGTTCGTCCAAGTTCAACCAGCTCTGATGGACAACTTCCTCTCCTGAAGACTTTTGTAGAAAGTAGCTCCCAACTTTCATCATCATTCAGAAATCGCAAATGATGAGGAGGGCTATCAGGGTTTGCAAGAACAGCCACATCTGTGTTACGGCTGGTTAATAGTATTCTACTTCCACAATCTTGGTTTGGAAAAGCCATCTTGAGATCATCCCATGCATCTGTCGTCCATACATCATCTAGTACAATGAGATATCTTCGGCCATTTAATTGTTTGCATATTTCTTGAACCAGCATTTCTTCGTTCATTTTAAAAGTTTGGTCGGAAGGCTGCATGAGAGAACTCAAGATGGCAAAAAGTACTTCCTTTCTGTTGTATTCTTGGGAAACATACACCCAAGCACGGACAAAGAAGCGGAATTCAATGGTGGGATTACAGTAAACCTTCTTAGCAAGAGTTGTCTTGCCAAGTCCACCCATACCAACAACTGAGACAACTTCCAGTGACTCCGAGATATTAGTGAGACGACTTACTATTTCTTTCGCTTCTTCATCAAAACCAACAACATTATCTTCCTCAACCATAGGTTTTCGCCTCTGTGATGAAAATCTATTTGAAGATTCCCCAGCATAAAGAGCTTCAATTCCAAACATCTTTTTATCATAAATCTCCTTCACCTTTGTCTTGATGGATTCAATATCCTTTGCAACAGATCGAAGCTTTGCTGGATAATCGAATGCATGGACGATTTTGCTCAACGTGCTTCTCTCTTTCTGCATGGCTGCATTAACTACAAATGTGTCAATGGTGTCCTCTGCTTCATAAGCTACATCTCTGATTTGTCTGACCAACTCTCTTATGTATTCATATTCACTACGTTTCTCTTTAGAATCTTTGAGGAATGCTTTCATCAAACTAAGCTCCTTGTAAAGAGAATCAACTTGGCCCTTTACCCCACATATCAAATCAGAGTTGTAGAGTAGCAGTTGCTTGAGATTGTCCAAGAGAAATTCAACCACAGCATCCGCCATTTCAATGTTTTCCCTCTCTCTCAAAGGTACAATTCATCTACAACATTAGCAATGTTAATACCAGGATCATAGCTTACTCTTGCTAGATCTCCTTGTGTTTTCTTCCTGTGGTTAATTAGAACTTGACTGATCACTTGCATAAATAATTACTTGGACTCCAATTCTCAGATATTATTAACGCGGGGAGGGAATGGAAATTACTCATCTCTTTGTTTCCCAAATCTTAATGGTTAAAGTTCTTGTCAATTTGCAACCTGCAACAATAAGGGGAAAGTAAACATAGATTTGCATAAAATCAATCGCCATAGTGTCATTGTACTCTCAAGTTGCATGTTAAAATGAATCAAAAGTAACATAATTCACTGTTAGATGCATTACTGTAGATTTTTTCCCTTTTTTCTAGGATATAGATTCCATGTAGTTTATCTTTATCTTATTCAGTTGCAATCTCTTGTATATATAAGGTTTCTCCTCATTCATGAAATATATAAATAAATTAAGCTCATTCTTTAGTTATTTCATGGTGTCAGAACTTCAAGGATTCTGATATGAACCTTAGTTTTTATAATAATCCACCCCCAGAAGACATCCCACTGGCAAAAAATTCCTGAATTCCATGAATTTTCCTAGTCAAAACCTTTCATTCGAGGAAAAACCCTGACATAACCTGCTGTTTGCATCAAGGTCAGTCATTGAGAACTACTGTTGTCGATCACAAAGCAGTCAACTGAGAAGGTTTGTTGGACAGTTGAAGTATAGATGTAATGAGAGTTTCTTCGAAACGTGGTTTCAAGTTACTGATGTTGATCATCTTTGCTACTTTCTCGGGATTGAAGCATCTTGTTCTCAACAAAGGATATTGTTATGCCAGCGAAAGTATGTCCTTGACTTACTAATGGAATGTGGATTACAAAGTTGCAAACAAGTGGACTCACCCATGATTAAAAATGAAAACTAATGTCTAAATACAAACCTTTAAAAGATCTAGAAAGGAAACTTAATTACCTCATCGTTACATTTCATACTCCGTGAGTGTGGTTAGCCAGCTTTTGTGCAAACTCTAACCCCTACGTTATTCACTAGGATGCTCTTTTACAGATCTTAAGGTATCTAAAAGTCCCCTCCAAGAAGAGAAATTATATATTAAGATCAGGATTACTGTAGGGTCGGTACTTTTACTGATGAGGGATCCGAAAAGATTTCAAGGATCTAGGATGCAAATTGCATGGGATGTCCTTTTATTCGGAGACCATCGCTCACTAGTGTGTATTTCCGGGTGGCAACCTTCTAGCTAGGAAAAGCAAGAAACAAGCAACCATGTACTGATCCAGTGCCGAGTCATAATGAGCTATGGCTAATGTTACATACTACTTACATGTCAGATGAGTTAAAGTTGGCAGTTGTTACAAGAGTTAGGGTCCTTCCTTCCCGAATAAAATTATGAGATTATATTGTGATGATCAATATGCTAATTATATAGTCAAGAATCAGTCGTCCCACGAGAACTTCCAATAAGTAGCTTAGTCGGCAGCATTTAGAATTCAATGAAAACCAAATAAATATCTGAAGAAAGCTTCAAACTGCAAAACAAGTACTACCACCATTTGAAAAACCTACATTTTGACTTTTTGATGCCAAACATGGTAGTTGAGAAAGAAAAAAAAAAACTGTTCTTATTAATGTACATACACATATCTTTTTGTACATATTTTTATGAAGTTCAAATTTTTAACCAACTTACTTCAACATTCTTAGAAACCATAACAATATTTAAACTGCCAAGTAACACTTTGATCTTTCAAAGTCAAAATGAAGCTCTTTGTTAAGATATTGAAGATATGAACTCATACCACGTCTCCAACTTGAGTCTAATAGTTAATCGATGAGATTTAATATACGAGACATGCAAAGTCATATTATAGTTCCAACTTTTTACAAATATAAAAGAGATGAGATTCAAGATATGGCAAATGCAAACTCATAATTACTTTCATCATGCATCTAATCTTCAAGAAGTAAGACTCAAGATATGGTTTACACAAACTCGTATTTATTTCCAAATTACGGCCAGGTGTTTTAGAATGAGGTCCAACTTCAGAGATTAATTATGTACTTCCCACTTATGTCTAATATTTAACAATGAGGTTCCAGGTATGCCCGCGTCTAATCTTATAGAAATATGGCTCAAGATATGGCATATGCAAAAATTTGCACTTTATTTTCAACTTTTGCATCGCTTAAAGAAATATATGTTGTCCTCTCTTTCACCTGGTACTCTCTTTATGAGGTAGAATAGAACAGATCTTAGGACTTTGTACTGGTTCCATAACTCCATGTATATTTGGTTTTATATATTTTCAACAGGACTATATATCATAGCTTTTCCAAACAATGAACATATCGCAAACTAGTTTTCGAATTTGATATAAATTTTTCGAATTTTCAAAAAGCATTTGATAAGTACGTGCAATTTTACAACATAAACACATCTTTCAGAAAGATAAAACAAAATGTGAAGATTTTCTGGAACATTTTAAAGCAAATTCATATGAACTTTGGCCATGTTTGGCAAACTAGCTGGTAAGCTAGCTATTGGTTAATAAGCTAGTGGTTAGCTGGTAAACTTGCTCATAAACTAGTCTTGTTTGGTAAAATGTAACCGATAAGCTAGATGACAATGTTAAATAACCTAAAAATAAATTATAAAGGGTGTTTCTGTAAAATTTAAGGGGCATAATCAAAAAATAAAAAAGTGAGTAAAACACCAATAAGCTATCTAAAGTAGCTTTCCGAGAACCCTAACTTATAAGATAGCTTATCAAACAGGACTATTTCAATAAGCTAAAAATAAGCCAGCTTATGGTTTACAACATGGGCTTTGACCCTTGAGAGTAATTAGCTTGACCAACAAAAGTCAAAATACCAAAGAGAAGATATACACCCTTTACAATTCGAGTTCAAATGGACTACTTTCTAACTTCAAAATGAAGTCAAATTTAGGGTTTCTAAGAGAAACCCTTTATACGTATGCTAAAACATTGTGATACTTGGTTTTTTTTCGAAAGATTGTGATAATTAGTTAAAAAGGTAAAAAGTAAAAGGAAAGATGTTGATGTTGATGTTGGGTGTTCAAAGTAACCAATATTCTAACCAGAAGGGTCTGACCTAATATGTAAGGCTCACGACCTGACCGTCACATGATTCACTTGTGCTATCAACTACACAGAACCAGATCCCGTGTAGAGACCCCAATCGTGACCCCTTGGACCAAAAGAAGTAAAGTGGTAGCAAAGTTTCCATCAGTTTTACATATAGAATGTACTACCTTCGGCTCCAGAAGTCATAGATTATATACATTCAGGCATGAGAAATTCAAATGCTACAAATTCCTACAGCTATCAACAATCCGCAAAAAGAAAATCATCAAATAATCCATCATCCAAAAGGTTAAAAGTTAGAAGAATCAAAATAAGGAATAACTTCAGATAGTGAGGTGCTGAAGCGAAGAAGAGAAGATGGAATCGATAATAAGCTAAACAAACAGAAGAAAAAGCACAAACCACATTCGATCATGGGAAAGACATCACTGCTTTCATGGAAATCGTCTCATCTCTGTGTGTGTGTGTTTTCAGAGTCGTTGACCCTTGCAGAAAGCAAAATTAGTGATGAAACATTCCCGGGTGATTGCAGGGTGTTAACGGTGAGTAACAGATTTAACAATTTTAAGTTGGGTTCTGTTAGGGGTGGTTGGAATCGCATATAAAAACAATTTATTGACTTATTTTGATGCGGCATCGGTAATAAACATTTTTGAGTGTTTAACGTACATGGCATGATCTAAATTTCATTACCTTATATGTTTCGTTTTTAAATTTTCAAGTGATGAAAATACTGAATTACAATTTTCAATCGACATGGTATTAACTAAATATATTTTACCTTTGTCTCAGATTCTTTATTTTTCAGGTGTTTAGTTCTCGTCAAGATTTAATAGACTGGGTTCACCATATGGGAAATTCACTTGGTTACGTTATTGTTACTAAAAGATCCAAGACCTCTACAATTGTATTTTAATATGACCGTGACGGTACATACAAACGTAAAAAAATCTCCACCAAACATACGGGCACCAAAAAAAATAAATTGTCCATTCGAACTAGAAGGGGAACGCTTGGCAAAGGAAGATTCTTGAACATTAAGGGTGATATGTGAATTACATAATCATGAACCTGCGTTAAATATGGAAGGTCATCCATATCCACGGCGATTGACAGATAATGAAGCTCGATTGGTGAAAGATTTATCAAGAAAAAACGTGAAGCCACGAGATATCTTATCAATACTCAAGCAACGCCCAAATAACATGTATACTATCTGAACGATATAAATGCACTCAGTAAATTTCGAGTGCTAGAGAAAGCGGGTAGAACATAAATGCAGGTTGTTGTGTCATTTTTACATGTCGAATGTTATATTTATGAAAGACGTATAAATCATTCAACTAACGAGTTGGAAGATTTATTCTTTGCTCATCCAAATCATTGGAGATGTGGCATGCATTTCCACATGTGGTGTTGATAGATGCAACATATCAAACGAACAGGTATGCAATGCATCTCTTTGACTTGTAAATTTTGTTTAAATTAATTTATATCACTATTATAAATTATTAATATTATTATACAAACAGATACGCATTGCTTCTTCTTGAAACTGTTGGTGTAACTCCAACAAATACGACATTTTGCATAGTGTTTGTGCTATGCATAAAGAAGATAATCCAACTATACAGGGGCTTTAAGTTGTTTGAAATCGTTAATGGGCAAATGTATTCTTCCACGTGTTATCGTGACAGATAGAGAATTAGCTCTAATGAAAGCATGCAATGTTGTATTCCCGGATGCTAAAAAGTTACTTTGTACATGGCACATTTATAATAATATTTTGAAGAAGGGTAAAACATCAATACGATCAAAAAGTACTTTGAATTCTTTCAACAAAGCATGGACTAGATTAGTTGCATCTCAAACAGAAAACACATATATGCTCAATTTGGCACAACTCGAAGCAAAATTACACGATTATCCAGGTATTTTTTAAATATAAGTTTTTTTTTGCAAATATAATTACTTTTTTGATATATTTATTTCATTTTATAGATTTAAGTATTTTTTTCGTTCAAAAAAAGTTTACGGACTTTATCATTCAAAATATAAAAGTCCATTGATTTATTTTGAGACTTTTTCCATTATTTACCATATTAACCACTTTTATAGGTTATAAGAATGTATCTAACAAGTTTTAGAAAGTCCAATGAGTTATTTTTGTAGCTGAGCGATTCGGCCATGGGCTGACCGAATAAGCCTATACCGAACAGTTAGATATGGATGTGCGAATAAGCCATATGGTTTATACAGCCCATTAAGCCGCAACCGAACATCCATTTATCTGTTCCAAAAAATTGTCCAAGGACTTAATCATTTCAAACATTAAAGTCCAACTGGTTTTTTTATATTTTTCTTTTTTTTAAAGTATAATGCTCCAATAAAAAATAATTTGAATGTACATTGTTGTAATAATAAAAACTACAAATACAATGATATAATAATTTTTTTTATGAAAGTATGTTGTTATTTCTTGCATTTTACACTTAAAAAATCCATGAAATGATCTTTAGATTTTGGTTCTATGATTTATGAATATAAAAGTATGTTTTATTCGGAAAAAATGTAAGGAGCTGTTTACCAAATGCTTACTCGGGCAAGTGAGACCAAGAATCTTACCTGGTATGGACCAAGAATCTTACCTGGTATGGACCAAGAATCTTACTCGGTAAGAGTGAGACAAGTACAAAAAGTCTTATCCAGTAAGTGAAGACGACAACTATTACCATGGTAAGCACTTACCGGGTAAATTGTTGCATATGATATCATTTGGTGGATTAAAATCTTATCCGGTAAGTAAATTATAGTGTTATATTTTACCGATAAGCACTTACCGGGTAAGTGTTTGGTAAACGGCCCCTAAGCTTATTTAGCTTGACTCGATTTGAAAATATAATCGAGTTTTCAAACAAACTGAATTGATATTTGTAGAAATGATGTTATTTGATCAATTTTTTCGGTTTTGTTTTATTTGATTTTCAAGTTTTTCTCAAACTACTCAACAATCAAATTAAATGAGTTTCAATTTAAACAGTTTTGAGTTATACGGTTCGATTGTCTGGTAACCAAGTAACGGTTTTAGGTTTGTTGAATAAAGTTTGTTTTATTTTTCTTTCGAATTTTCTTTTACCAAAACGGTAGGGCTTTTTTGGGTATTTTAGGAAAAATGAAATATGAGTTACAAAATAAATATTATTTGATCTGAAAAGAGTTTATCTATACTATATTATAAAGCATTTGACAAAAACTCTTAAAAATCATTTTCTATGCAGTAAGTGTTATTTATTGATGTATATTACTTAAAATTTATGATTACAAGTAAATTGTGCATAAGTACAACTTATTAAAGCTCCATATTTGAATTCATGTAATTAACTGCAGATAAATATAATCAAATATTGAATAAACAACTTATATTAAATATAAAAAACTAGAATATAATTAGAATAATCATCGAGTTATAACAGAATACTTAGTTATTATCTTTATAAAAAAATATATTATTAAACCTAAATTAAATTTCTTTGTTACTAAACCTAAAATAAATTATAGTTAAAATTTTTGAATTAAGGAAATTACACCAAAACACAAGAACTTTTAAAAAGATTAATTTGATACTGACATCGATATATTTTTTTCAAAAATTTATTATATTTTCAAATTTATTTTTTATTCAAAAATAAAAACATTATCGTTTTTTCTCAAAACCACATAAAACCGTATTATATCGACATAAAAAATGAATAAAACGAAACATTAAAATCAAGATATGTCTATATTATACATATACGAATATCCTTCTAGTAAATATAAAATATAATTATAGTTGGGATTTTTTGGTTTATTCAATTTAACCAAAACTATAAATAATAATTATTATTCTTTAAATAAATAGTTTTTAAATTATATACAATTAAATCTAATTTTAAAAATACATATTCCTAAAATAAAAATTAATTCAAAAAATGTTATTTTTTCATGGAATTTCTCCTAAATATAAATAGTAATTATATTTTTGAAAAGAGGATAGTAAAACGTTAAATTTCAGATATTATTAATGATTAATGTTAAAAAATTTGATTAAAATCAAACCAAAAAAATGTAAATTATAAAATTACGTGTGGAAAGAAAAAATTATTCAAGAAGGTAAATAAAAAAGTATGAAAACACAACGACAAAATTACTCAAGAATGTAATTAAATTATATAGTGGCATCCTCTTAAGTTGTTCTTAGTCGTTTCTTATGGATAGTTAGTTGTATGCATTCTAAATATTCAAACCGTAGTTTAACGATAATGAAAATGGAAACCGATATTTAACAACTTCACCAACACGTTACAACGATGATAATCAATCGCGACGTTATTCAATCAAAGACGATGACTTCTCATTCTTATTTTTTAGTAGTTTTAAACAATTTCATATACTTAATAAATTAATATATAATGAAGAAACATAAATAAAAAAACTTAATATATTAAAATAAGCACATCTATAGGAGGACCAGTTACTAGGGTTGCACATGGGTTGGAATGGTCGGGTTTGAACAACCCAACCTAATATTTACAGTTTGAAAAACCTCAACACAACCCAACCCATGCGGTTTGGGTTGGATTGATTTGGTTGAAACTTTAGTACATCATTTTATAAGCTTGCTAGCTTTTTGTTTCAACGAAGTAAAATCAAAATGAAAGCATACGTAAAAGTTTAAAAAACTCAAAAAAAGTTGAAAGTTCATGTAAATAAGAAAGTAAAATAACAATAGAAATTGCAATAAAATTTTGAATATAACTAATTATGGGTTGGTCTAGTGTACATATATTTATTCAAGAACTTAAATAATCGTATTAAATAGCATTTAAAGTCAACGAGTTTATGGGGTTGGATTGAGTTCAAATTACCCTGCCTCGATTCCAACCCAATAGATGTGATTTGGTCTAATTTTGTATCAATTATATGTAGAGTTACCTCAGTGTCGAGTTTTTTTGGAATTTTTTTGGGGTTGGGTTTGAGCACCCCTACTTAGGGGGTGATTGAGATTGCTTATTTGAAACAACTTATGCTTTTCTACAAAAGCACTTATCAACTTAATATAAGTCAGAAGTGTTTAACTTCTTCAAAAACTCATTATTACCGGTTTGACACCGATATAAATTGTTTATCCAAACATTCAAAAATATTTATTACCGTTGTCACACCGAAATAAGTCAATAAGTTGTTCTTATAAGCAATCTCAAACAATCAATCTTGGTTTTCTCATGGAACCGGTTCGACTTATTGGAGGTTGACACGTTCATCTATAGAATTGATGGGAGTTTTTGGTGTGAAAAGAACAAATGAAACACAAGGGTGGGAAACTTCAAGTCTTATACTTCATGCACTCAAATTCAACACAGTAATAACAAGAAAAGGACTTCACTTTCAATACATGAAACAAGAGATGACTTTCTAAATGGACTGCAAAATGCAATCATATAACCTTCCTAAATATACTTAACAGGAAACAAAGAAACGACTTGATGCTCGAGTTTTGTTTCGTTATTTTCAACCACACAAAGCCGCTGCTGCTGCTTATTGATGGGTATCCAAACGATTGGTTTTATAAAAAAAACAAGAAACTATGAAATTATTGGGTCTTGGTGGGTTGCCATGACTGATACCTGGTCCAGTCTCTCTGGCCAGGGTTCAATGTGTGTCCCTTGGAATGGTAGATGTATTCATCTCCTTCCCCTGAGAAGTTCTCCTTGTGATCCAATCCATACCTCTTTGGTTTAAGCATTAGTAGCTGCAAACCCGAACCATAATTAATTATTTATTTATTTATGTATTACTTAACAGTTGGCATGTATTTTGGGTTATAAAAGCTCTTTCGACAAACGTATACCTCGTCTCCTGTGTGATCAGTTATAAAGTGCAGCCAACCATGCCATTCCGGTGGGACCTGAGAAGCATTGTAACGGTCCTTGGAAGCATATTCCACCCACCTGTGTCTTCCTACAAATCATAAAACAAACCCACCCTAACATGGTTACTATACTTGATATTCTGTCTGCTTGTATATCCTCAAGAAGCCGACACAAATACCCAAACAGAACCATAAAAGATGCATGGTAGTTACTAAGGACTTCAAACCATCGTTTCAGCTGATCCAAAAGTTACTATATCAGTTTGCTACTTTAGACTTGGGGCTTTACATTTTTTTACAAACTTTTGATCTTATTTCCAAGAAAACAACGATAAGAAGATTAAATAATAAGGTAAGCTCTTGTAAGCATCGATTATCTTTTTCTGCAAAAGGGCTTAAAAGAAATAGTTTTATCTTTCTTCCAATAAGAAAGTATCAATTTGGACAGAAAATTCAAACTTCTGGAATCAAATGGAACTGTATGTGATGCTATTTCAGTTAACTAAAAAATTAAGTTATATTTATTTTGGCACAGTTGGTACACTGTAGTGGACTCGTGGCAAAGAGGGTCAGATGTTACATCACTGACTATATACGGCCATTTGATCACAACTTCATAAGTTTGTACATTGATCATGAATTTTTAAAATAGTATCCTCTTTGCAACAGATTGAGTCCCTTTATCTGTTACAGATAAAAGCAATTTCCCAGGAATAAACTAACTCATGCTATTCATGAGATAAATATAGAACAATAGAAAGTGATTGAGTGAAGAATATGTAGCTGTTAATAAATAATAACCAGAGAACTACAATGCATAATCCAACAAAAGAGGACGGTAGTCAAAAAATAAAAGAAGGGATCATTGGACATAACCAAAAACGAAGGACTCACCATATTGCGTGTCACCAAGCTTCTCGTAGTATTTATTGCCAAATTTGTCGACACCCACTACTGTGGCACCTATGTTGTGAATCTTAGTTTGCCTAAATGATTCAGAAACCAAAAAGATTATGATTCCCATATCTAATAGCTATGCAAAAAAAACTGAAGATTCAGATTTCAGATTGACAAAAAAAATGCTTAGGGTATATGACCATTATTGCACATATACCTCTCTTTTCCTTTTTTCTCTAGGTGACGCATGCCAACTATATCTTATATAAGATTTTCCTATTTGCGTTTGGGTTTGGTACCACTGAGTCAATGGCCACTTGGTACACATTACATCCACTATATATATGAAATATATTTGTCGGTGTGTGTGTGCATACATATACCCTTACACGTCGCATCTGGTTCGAATTTCTTTTACATGTTAGTAGAATCACATGTAAGGTACATTCTCTAGTAGTAGGCTAGTAGCAATCAGAAATAACTACCCTGGATGACTGGATCATTCATAAAACATATTGGAGACATGAATGACAAAACTTCATCCCTTGAGCTGTGTCACATTTTCAGGATTCTCTTCTTTGTAGTTTTTCCCTCCCAACCACAGACTCTAAACATGCCACTCTTTCTATTTAACGTTCTACCTCAAGCTACCACACAGAACAAAATCAAGAACTTAACACGTACCAAAAAAGTTGGTATCAGAAATCAGGTCAATCCAAAGGACATCCCACAAAGTTTATCCTTAGTCAAAATCAAATCTCCTTGTTCTACTGAAGTCAATAAGTGTACATTAGAAAGGAATATTCAATTCAAAGTTCATTTTTGTTTTATAGAAAATCCTCAAGAAATGACTGGGCCGCTTCCTTATCATTTCGATGTTTTGATGTTGTTCATATTCCATCAATCAGATTACAATTGGATTACATTTTAGTCATGATTGATATGTAACTAATTTTAATGTCCCATAGAAGAGGACAGTCATTTCCTTTTAGTTTGGTTATACTTCTTCAAATCAGATTGTGATTGGTGCTCAAAGATCTATGCTAGTACATATATGATGTACATTTACTCATGCAAGTATTTTGGAAAACTGTTGACCAAGTAAGCAAAACTTCTCCAAAGAGTAAATTGATCCGAATTTTACACTTCAATTCTGTTATGAATACCCACTAGATTGATCCCGATCTAGGTTCATGGACAGGCGTTAAGACATTAGAGAAGAAATTTGTCAAGTTGCTGAGAGCTCTATTGAGGATATCGAGACGAAACTCTGGATCTCCACAACCAGAATGAAGGTGAGACCACCTTCATCCTTTTCTCACAAAAGGTAATTCAGAAGTCCAAGGTACAGAAAGAGGGAGAATCGTCAAGAATAATGAAAAAAGAGATGACAAAGAGATTAGAGTGAGGATCCTCACTGTAAATGGCAAGCAGACAGTTGGGTCAAAATGGCTAAAAGGTCAAATTGGCACTTTAAGAATGGGTCATGAATGAAACGGGTTGGTCATGTTGTCTAGTTGCACCTGAACACCCTTTTTCCCTTTTTTTCCAATTGTTTTTTCTTTTGTTGCAAAACTGATTTTGACACAAACATATTAATAACATAACAAGTGAAGTTAGATTATACCAACATAACAAACATATCCAAGCAATAAATATTTTTCGTAAAAGCAACTGAAAGTTGTAACATCTAACGACAAACAAAACTAAATAATTCCGGACATCTAAGCTTTTATTTTATCTTTTACTTAAAGATACATTCCAAGCGTTCAAGTATGTTTTGCAAGAATAAAATCACAAAAAAGTACTATTTCATACATTCCACCCAAAAGATCATAAGTTATATCAACATGAATAGAATATTTCAATCTACAACCAGACCGATTTTTACCAACTTTTCACATAGTTCAAAAAAGTAATGTACATGGTTTTTAAAAACGCCTTGAGGCGCGCCTTAGGGTGGTTGGGTCCAAAAGCGAATATGAGGCGCCGCCTCAAGGTCAAGGTATCCTGTAGCTTGGTTGTGTGAGGCGGGTGGTGAGGCAGCGAGGTGGTGCCAAGGCATGCTTTTTCTTTCTCTGATAGAAAATCTCACCTTTTTTTACAGAAATAACTGAAAATTAGAAAAATTAATATTACACCCATTGGCCTCTTTCCTATGTAGCCAAATTTCTTTTCTTTGACTATAAGCAATTTCTCCTCTTTTCTTCTGTAAGCATATTTCAGCTTCTGCATATTTTTATATAGTATCAATATGTATATTCTGTATGAATCTGTATGTGTATTTTATAAAGTAATCTGCATGTTCTTATGTTCTTTTATGTGTGAACCTTCTTTTTGTATAATCTATTTAGATTTATGTATATATATATATATATTCTGATTTATGTACATATACTGTTTTTATGTATATGGTGTATACTTATTTTTATGTACATATTCTGTTTTTTTATGTATATATGTTGTTTTGATGTACATATTCTGTCTTTTATGTATATATGCTGTTTTTATGTACATATTATGTTTTTTTTATGTATAATCTGGTTTAACGTATATAGTATATATATTTTATGTCTTTTTGTTAAGTGTAATGAACTTACGAATTTATGAATTTTGTTGTTTTATTTTTTGGGGCTTACGCCTCACGTACCTAAAGGGAAAATGTCTTGAGGCTTGTTTCCGTTTTTTAAAACCTTGGTAAGGTATTGACACTACCCATATATGACTTTCTTCTAAAAACAAAAGTACTCGAAATGTTTAGAAGACAATGCAATTCAAATGGTAAATGTTATAGTTTTCTTGTGAGATAAATAATATAATTAGTCGTCTCAATTTTTTTTGCAAGTGTGGATGAAAAAGGGATGTACATAAGAGATAATTTCTAGTCCATTTATCATTTTCAATTCATCACAGTTACAACTTGTACAACAGTATACAAGGACAACCACATAGGAACACCGTACTAATGTACTACGTATGACACACACATGACTTGGTTAACTACACTAAGAAAATGGTGGTTGTTAGCTAAAGCATAAATGCATTTTAAGGGGAGTAGCTTTACTTACAAAAGATTTCCATCCGAAAGACAATTCCTGGAACAAGCACAAAAGAGAAGTAAGTACAGTTGCATGTATAAATCTAGATAAGCATAAGCCCAAAGGCAAGAACAACTACATATAAAAGATAAACATATCCCTTTATTCCCATATCAAACGTCCACTTTGACTTTTGACAGTGAAACATGTGATTTTTTAAATCCAAATGGATATAATTTCATTTATTTGATATAGATTGGAAGTTACACCACCCCCTCCTCTAAATAGATGCAAGAATATGCAGACTAATAGCTGTCTGCAGCTCTGGTGGATCATTTCAGGGTTATGAAAGTGTTAGTGTGAATAGATCATATCAATATCGAACTCAGGAAGTTCTGGGTCGATAACCAAAAGTCAAAGTAGACCTTCACTGTAACATAGAATGAATAAGAAATAAAAGCAACATGGCATATCAAGTAAAGAAATACTCAGCACGAGTTAAGAAGTCATGATCGAAGTATCAACTAGAACTTGGTGAGTAAACTTCTATTCCTTTGTCCATTTCATGAGTATATTCTCACTTCTTTTGTTTTTCCAAAGATATTGTAATATTTACAGATTATGACTAAAAAAGATGCAAAGTTCCAAATTTTAATTATTACCCAAATATCATAATCACCAGAGCACCACAAAATTTCTCAATCATCTCTGTGACAATATTAGAAAATAAAACTGTCCATAGATCTATACATTCTGCTAATGATTTTATGATCAGCAAATACAATTTTGATACCAAAAGAAAGAGTGAAAGACAGGTGCCCCATGAAATAACATTTGCTTATCAGTGTCCGAATAATAAATTTCTAATAACCACGATTACAGACTCATTGTTAACTAGGTGTCATCAAGAGCAAATCTTTTTTACAGAAGTGGAGTTGAGATTGACTTCCATACTAGCAAATCCTGGAAGAACCCTAAAAGTTGGGATTCCAACAAAAACTAACCTAATGCCCCCCCCCCCCCCTAACTTGCGTGGAATGCATCTATATAGCTGTAAAATGAAATCTCAACAATAAACCATCAAGTAATCCTCCCCTTCCCTTATCTCTTCATCTACCAATACACAACATGAAATCGATGAACTTGAACTAGACCATGACCAAAATTGAACAAACTCATGCGAAATTCAATAGCTAAATTCCAAAAAGTAGATCTTTCATTTGATTAAATTTACAACATGCGTATAGATATCGTAAAACAGAGATAGATGGAAGGGGGGGAACTAACAGAAATCCTTCTTCACGAAGCTCCCTTGCGAAATTTACGAGACCCTTCTCTCTGACGCTCTTCAGAATGTTCTTCACCACGGAAGCCATTTTTCCCCCCTTTCTTTACCTCTGCTTTGGCCGATCGCCTCGCCTTTCAAAAGGATCCTCGATGCCTTTTGGGGGTTTAATTTGATACTGTGAACACCATGTATCATTTCCGGTTAACTGATCATTGCCGTACACGTGTCTCGTTTAATTTTTTTTCCTTCTTATTTATGTGATTTATAAAATGTTTCGTTGTTGTCTTTACATGAAACACCTTATAATTTGCATTTTCACATATTTTATGTTCACTTAAATTTTTGATGCATTAGTTATGGGGAGTTTGCTTCGTCGGAATCCGTTGAAATCTGGTGGAATTGGATGGATCAATTCCGTTGACCAAATTCTATTCCAACGTTTGGTTACTCATGGAATGGAATTGAATTCCAAAGATTCCATCATTTGAGGATTTCACTATTTCTTCCTAAAAGTGATGGAATTGAAATCCATTCTATCCAAAAATGTGTAAATGACAAAAATACCCTCGTGATGCTTCCAGTTTCATCATTGATTGATTATTGATTCCTTTCAATATCTGCTTCTTCCAATTTCTTCTTATCGATTACTACTTGCTTCCAAGAAAACGAAACATCATTGCAAGACGAAAACTATTTGCTTATCGATTGATGCTTGCTTCCCCATTATTATTTGCTTCCTGATAACTGTTTGCCTATTGATTATTGCTTGCTTCCCTATAACTGCTTGTTTATCGATCACTGTTGCTTATCAATCACTGCTTGTTGTTGATTACTGCTTGCTATCGATTATTGTGTGCTTATCGATTACTGGATCTTCGATGAAACGGAAACACAAAAAGGAAGATAAAAAGAAGAAACCCTAGAAACAAAAGCCAACAAATTTCACGCATGTCGATTAATGCTTGCTTATTGATTACTGGATCTCTGATGAAACGAAAACACATAAAGAAAGAGAAAAAGAAGAAACTCTATATGTTAGACTAAGTCAACTAGTCTAGTTTATATTATTAATATTGTCTAGGGTCCAAAGTGTAATTAGTTTTACCTATATAAGGTGTATCAGATTATTATTATTTTTCAATCAATACAATCAATATCAAGTTTTATATGGTATCAGAGCCTAACTCTAACCCTAACCCTAAAATCGATCCTTCTATCTAACCCTAAAATCGGCAACCTTCAACCCTAATCTGCCGGCGCTGTCCCTTCAACCCTAATCTGCCGGCGCTGTTCCTTCAACCCTAATCTGCCGGTGCTGTTCCTTCAACCACTCATCTGTCGCCCGGCACCCTTTAACCCTAACCCTATAATCGGAACTCTTCAATTCATCAACAATCTACCCACGCTAAAGACACATCAACTCAGAATTTATGGCAGCTATAATCACCTTTTCACATCAGGAGAAAACCATTCACAATTCACACAAATTCTCCTTCTCTCTCAAACCTACCAACTATGGCTATTGGCGTTCTATGATTGAAGCTTTTCTCACATCTCATAATCTCTTTGGTTATGTTGATGGAACAATATCGTGCCCTGATCAGAAAATCACCAACGAATCAGCAACCACCGACAATCCAAGCTACATTCCGTGGATCTCAAACGATGCCCACATTCGGATGTTTATCATCTCTACTGTGTCCGAAGATTCTTATCACCACATTTAGCGAAAAACATCACGTGAGGTATGGTTATCTCTTGAAAGAGCTTATGCCCCTGTTACAACCTCTCATGAATTTACTCTCAAAACTCAATTGCTTAGAATCACCATGAWSGGTGATGAAAAACCGGCTGATTACCTAAGCAGGGTTCACGAATATGCCACTGCTCTAGCAAACATTGGAGAACCAATGAAGGATAAAGACCTAGTAATGCTAACTATCGCAAGGCTTCGAGAGGAATACAATGTCATTAAAGGCAATTTACTGACTCGTTTACCTCCTGTTCGCTTCAATGAACTGCATGGTCTTTTGTGTGATCATGACTATGTTTTTACAAAGAACTTAACTCCACAAGCTTTCCTGGCCAACACTGCTCCAATACCCCAGCCACTAACGGCTGTTGCATCTTCGATTCAACAACCGAATCTCGATCAACTTCAGCAACAACTCCAAAGCATTCAACTTGTGGCTTCTCAACTTGGTTATCAATTAAACCCCCTTCCCACCCCACGGGCTCAAGCATATTATGGTTCTCGGTCCTTCAACAATAACCGAGGTGGTCGAGGATCTCGTGGTTCTTCTCGTGGCAACTCACGTAGAGGTTTCAATAATCGCCCTCGGGATAGCAATGGCTCCAGACAGTTTTCTTGGGCTTCAACCCACAACACAGTCTATGGCCATTGCAACAGGTGTGGCATAGGTCATCTACCGTCTCAGTGCCCAAATCAGCCGAACCAGTCTCATCCTACCCCACAGGCCAATTTTACATCACTCTCAGAGGCTGGCTCATCTTCTGGTCCTACTTGAAAACCAGATACTGGTGCAACTCATCATGCCACACCAGACCTATCTAGCATGGATAACTCAGAGGCCTACTACGGTAACGATTCTTTACTTGTTGGTAACGGTAATTCTGTACCCATTTTTTACATTGGTTCATCAAAAATATACTCACCAAACAAAACCTTTACCCTAACCGACATTCTTCATGTTCCTCAACTAAAACAAAATCTCTTATATGTTCAAAAATTTTGCCTTGATAATAATGTTTTCTTTGAATTTCACTCTTCTTATTTTGTTGTCAAGGACGAGTCTACTCGCACTACCCTCCTTACGGGACCTAGTGAACAGGGTTTATACTCCATTCGTCTTCCTCAACTCAAGTCTATGCCGAAGGTTGCCTTCACTGCTGTCAAAGCTCCTTTGAACATTTGGCATCAGCGTTTAGGACATCCTCATGCTCAAGTTTTTCGTTCAATTGTTTCTTATTGTTCTTTACCCGTTTCGGACAAATTATCAAATACTTTATGTTCTTCTTGTCAATTGGGAAAATCTTCAAAGACATCTTTACTTGATTCCACTTTTCGTAGCAATAATATTTTAGATCTTGTTTACTGTGATGTTTGGGGCCCTTCTCCCGCGCCATCTCTTGATGGTCATTGTTATTTTCTTTTATGTGTTGATCATTTCACACGTTATATGTGGATTTATCCCTTAAATCAAAAATCTGATGTGTATATTGTGTTCACACAATTTATCACCATGACTAAACGCCAATTTAACACCAAATTAAAGCGTATTCAATCTGATTGGGGGGGCGAATTTCGACCTCTCACCAATCTTTGTCGCAACCTTGGCATCATCTACAGAAGGTCTTGTCCTCACACCAATGAGCAAAATGGCATTGTTGAACGTCGTCATCGTTATGTTGTAGAAACTGGTCTCACTCTCCTGGCTCAATCCAGTCTTCCTCAACGCTTCTGGTCCCCTGCATTTGAAACAGCTGTATACCTTATCAATCGTCTCCCTTCTCGTGTCTCTTCCAACAAATCTCCTTTTGAACAAGTCTTCAAACGCAAACCTGATTATTCCTTCTTACGAGTCTTTGGTTGTCAATGCTTCCCTTATCTTCGTCCATACAATCATCACAAAATTGAATTCCGGTCCACTCCCTGCGTCTTTCTTGGTTACARCAYCGTTCACCACGGCTATCGCTGTTTTGACCCGTCTAATGACCGGATTTATATTGTCCGACATGTTCACTTCAACGAACATGTGTTTTCCTACCAGCCTTCACCAACCCCACCACCACCATCCACTCCTCCTTACATCTCTATATTTCCTAACCCACTACTTGGTTTCCCACCCGAGCCTCCACAATCGCCTCCACCACCACCCCCTCCTCAATCTCTTCCTCAATCTCCTCCTCACGAACCTCCCCAATCGTCTCCACAATCTTCACCATCACCACCTATTCCACCTCCTTCTGATGCCTCCCCGCCCGAACTTACCCATACTCCTCCAACCGTCTCTCAACCTCGGCTTTCCAACCTTCGCCCCAATCCCAAACAACCTGACCGATATAACCCAGTCGTTTACTTTGCCACCTCTTCCTCACCTCTACCTCTTGAACCCACCAGTTTTACCGTTGCTAACAAGTCTTTAGAATGGCGCCAAGCAATGGCTGATGAGTTGGTTGCACTTCATAGGAATGGCACGTGGACACTTGTGCCCCCTGTTCCTAATGCTAATGTTGTTAATTGTAAATGGGTTTACCGGTTAAAAACTGATGAAAATGGAAAGATTACCMGGTACAAAGCCCGCCTTGTGGCCAAAGGTTTTCACCAACARCATGGCGTGGATTATCATGAGACTTTCAGCCCCGTTATCAAGCCTGTCACTATCCGCACTGTCATGTCTCTTGCTGTCACCAACAAATGGCCTCTCAGACAGTTGGACATTCAGACCGCATTTCTGCATGGTGATCTCAAGGACACTGTTTACATGCGTCAACCTCCTGGCTTCATTGATCAAACCAAACCTGATCATATCTGCTTGTTACACAAGTCGTTGTATGGGCTCAAACAAGCCCCTCGTGCCTGGTTCATAAAACTGTCTACTGCTCTTCAACAGTTGGGTTTTTATGGGTCCAAAACTGACCCCTCACTTTTTATCCTCAAATCTCCGGGCTCTCTTATCTACCTTCTGGTATATGTTGATGACATCATCATCACCGGTAACAACTCCATTGCTATCGCCACCGTCGTTGACCAGCTCCATACTCTCTTTGCTCTTAAAGATATGGGGCAGCTACATTATTTTTTGGGGGTCGAAGTTGTTCACAAGGGGGCAGACTCAGTTCTCTCACAACGGAAATATGTTTGTGAGATCTTACACCGTGCTGGCCTTGCAGACTGCAAACCGATTGCTACTCCAATGAGCACCTCTCAAGTATTGTTACCAGATGATAGCCCATTACTCGATGATCCCTCTCGCTATAGACAGACCGTCGGGGCTCTTCAGTATGCTACCCTTTCTTGTCCTGATATCGCCTTTGCAGTCAATAAAGTTTGTCAGTTCATGCATGCTCCGACTGAAAATCATTGAGCCGGAGTAAAACGGATCTTATGTTACCTCAAGGGCACCATCAATT